TAACTGAGAGTCTTGACCGAGCATAAGGAAGTTCCACACAAACAGAGACCCAGCAAGTTCCACACTTTCCTTCTAGGGGCCAGTGAAATGGCTCGGAGGGTAAAAGTGCTTGCCACCAAGGCTGGAACCCACACAGTGGAGAGAGAACCAGGTTCTCTGACGCCACACATTTATCTGCCATGGCTCACAGCTCTCTCCCAAGTGTAAATAAATGTAAAAACAAAACAAAAAGCTTTCCTCCTAGAGCTTTAAGGAATTCTCGAGATACCCCGGAGCCCACTGTGTAGGGGCACAGGAGCGTCTGAATCAAACAGTAGACCTGTGTTCAAATTCTGACCTGAAGAGTTTCCTTTTCTTTTTTATTTATGTATCCATCCTGGAACTCTCAGCCTCACAGCAGGTCCCCCTGCCTCTGCCTTCCGAGAGCTGGGAGTAACAGCGCCACCATGCCCCGCCAACTAACTGGATGATTTCCAAATTCCTCACTCAGCTTTACTCCCGGTGTATAGAAAGGAGGGGCTGTGGCGTGGACTCAACGGGACAGCTATGTGTCACATAGCTCACTATGGCACTGGACATACTGCCAGTCTCTGTCGAGCTAGGAGTGGTGGCTTGCTGCAGGTCAGATGCCAGACTGTGGCGACAGAAGGCGGACCTGGGCCCGGGGAATCCTGACTCCCCAGCAGCCTTCTTTCTACTACGCCTGCTTCTAAAGTGAGAGGCTCCCAGGGCAGCCAACATAAAAGAAGAGCAAAGGCCAACCAAACAGACTTACCTCTACATGGATCTGCCTTGTGAAGAAGTTAAGAGTACAGACTTGGCCAGGGACAGTGGTGGCACTCGCCTTTAATCCCAGCACTAAGGGAGGCAAAGGCAGGAAGAAAATTTCTGAGTTCAAGGCCAGCCTGGACTCCCAGAGAGAGTTCCAAGACAGCCAGGGCTACATGGAGAGACCTTGCCTCTTGCCTCTAAAGAGAGACACATAGGGCTGGAGAGATGGCTCAGAGGTTAAGAGCACTGCCTGCTCTTCCAAAGGTCCTGAGTTCAATTCCCAGCAACCACATGGTGGCTCACAGCCATCTATAATGAGATCTGGCACCCCTTCTGGCTTGCGGGCACACATGGAAGAAATGCTGTACACCTAATTAAATAAATAAGTATTAAAAAAAAAGAGAGAGAGAGAGAGAGAGACAGACTCCAGGACCAGACAGCTCAGCAGGGAAGGGAGCTTGCTACTAAGCCTGATGACCTGAATTCAACCCCGAACCTTAAACAGGGACAATCACGTCCCACAAGCTGGCATCAACACACACGCACACACATAAACAAATGTACACGGTGGAAGGGGGCTCCAAGATAGGCTTCCTCTGTGTTCCATGTAGTCCTGGGGCTCGCTCTGTAGACCAGGCTGGCCTGCCTCTGCCTCCCGAGCACTGGGATTAAAGGCGTGCGCCACCACCGCCCGGCTATAAACGTACAGTTTTATAATTAAAAAGTGTGTGTGTGGAAAGCCACCTCAGCCATTACTAGTGCTTGCTACTCTTGCAGAGGACCTGAGTTCAGATCCTAGTATCCACGCTGGGCAGTTCACAATTCCAGCTCTCCGGGAGATCTGACAGTCTTCTGGACACCTTGAACTCCTGCACTCACATGTGTATAAACACACACACGTGTGTGTGCACATACATACATACACACATAATTAAACATAAATCTTTGGGGAGGAGAATATGCAGGTGCTGGAGCTCAACCGTCTATGTTCAAATCTTACAGGCCATGTGACCTTAGGCAAAAGACTTAACCCTAAGTTCTATTTCTTGGGGTCTTAATGAGATAACGCTGATCTTCCCGTATCTGAGCTCACCCCCCTATTTTTATTTTTTGTGGTCTGGAGCCAGTGGCTTGCCCATTTCAAGTCTTTACAATGGTGTACAAAGCCCCAGTGATCCCTGAAGCCAGATACTGAGAAAAGCAGCTTCCTGTGCTGGGAAGGATGGGGTCAGGTTTCCAGTGACGTAAGGCAGGAACTGATCGTTAAATCTACAGGCCCGGTGTCTGTACATGACCTTCTGATCACAAACAGGCCAGGGGGCCAGGTGCCTGCTGATCTCTGACTGATGCTCGATTCACGACCACCTAAACACTAAGTCCCGGTGAGGAAAGCCCCAGGAAATGTAAAGCCAAGTCCACAGAAAACAGACCTTTCCCTAAGTCCCATGCACTGCCCCAGGGCTCTCGTAGATGAAGGGGGATTCCAAAGACCTTTTAAATGTTCCAGGGTCTGAGACACATTCCAAAAAGGGAAGGAGAGGTGAAGCATAGACAAAACACATCTCCACAGAAATGAAGAGGTGCAAAACTGGAAACCTCGATCCAGATTCTTAGGAGGATGCAGGAAAACTTTGGCTAATCAGGATTTCCTGATGACAAAAAAAAAAAAAAAAAAAAAAAAAAAAAAAAAAAAAAANAAAAAAAAAAAAAAAAAAAAAAAAAAAAAAAAAAAAGTCCCTGCTATTGTTAACTTTTCCAGTTGCAGCCAGACCCACTCCCCCAACACACACACAGACACACAGACAGACAAACACAGCTATATCACCTTTGTCTCCCCATAAATGTCTCTCATCAGAATCTCTGTTCAACATATACACAACATACACCCTGGACTTAGTACACTTTCTTCCCAGGAGTTCAAAATTCCCATGTGTGCAAAACAAAAAGCAAACAACAACAAAAGGCAGATTCAAGGCATTTCCAGCACTAACTTTCAGAGTGGAATAACTGTGCGATCCCAGCTAGGGCAATCAGCATGTCCACCCCTCAGTTTCCTCTGTTTCTTCCTCTTCAAATAAAAACTGTAGAGTTGGGACAAGGCAGCTGGATGTGGTGGCACATGCCTTTAATCCCAACACTTGGGAGGCAGAGGCAGGAGGATCTCTGGGAGTTCGAGGCCAGCCTGGTCTACAAGAGCTAGTTCCAGTTTAGGCACCAAAGCCACAGAGAAACCCTGTCTTGAAAAAATAAAATAAAAAAATTAAAAGGTAACTCCAGTTCTAGGGGATCTAACACCATCTTCTTCTTCTGGCCTCCAACACATTTATGGCACACACAGAGGGGCACAAAACTATAAGTACATAAATAAGAGGACTGGAGAGAGGACTTAGTGGCTTAAGGGCTCTGGCTACTCTTGAACAGGACCCAGGTTTAAATCCCGGAACCCACATGGTGGCTCACAACTGACTGAAACTCCAGTTCCAGAGGATCCGACGACACCCTCTTCTGCACCAGGCATGCCTGTGGTGCACAGATAGAAATACAAGCAAAATGAGCCCCAAGCAGCCATCCATGACTGAACTCAGCAGCTGACCACCAAGCCTACACCAGCTGGGTGCCTCTTCCTCAAAGGAGGCTCTGAGGAACTGTCTCCACCATCTCCACTCCCCAGGTCCTTCTACCATGCTTGCTGCTCAACACCTCACAATGGTATCCGGATCAACTCCTAACTCCCGGTCATTGGCCACCCAGCACCAGACACGTCATGACACCTTCCTGTCCAAGCCAGACCATAACAAATCAAAGGATTCCTTTGCAACATCTGCCTGCCAAGACTTGCTACCTAATTGTTGTTAATTGCATTAATTGCAGAGTTCTGCAGTGCACGGCTCCTCCTCCTTGTAGTTTTAAAAGCAAGTCACAAGGAAGAACTCTGAACAAAAGTCCCACTTGGGGAACCTCTTCTCCCACTCCTAACTCTAAGACCCACTGCAGCCCAGCGGGACAGATTGTTAAGTGGCTGCGTCTTCTCCCTGAATGTGGAACCAAAGGGGCCCCAGAGAACCATGAGGGATCCAAGGCCTAGATCTGAAAGAGGAGGCACCAACCCACCCATGTGTGCCGGGGAGACCACGAATTGATAACAGCCTTCATACCTGGGTACCTTCGTACCTGGGTACCTTCGCCTTGCTGCTCAGGCTCACCAGCATCCCTCTGCACCTACATCAGGACCTTACAGCCTCACTTTAGAAAGACCAATCACACCACCCTGGACAACATCCTCCTCTGGACAAGGCAGAACTATAGGGACAGGAAAAATGACAACGTGTCTACGGAGGGGAGGAGTGTGGGAGGGTGGGAATGATTTCAGGCAACCCAGTGGTTCGAGAGGGAACAGTGTGTTCTTCCTCTTGGACATCCCCAAGTTTTCCTGAGTCTCTAGTCCCCGGAGCACACAGCGGAGGCCTCTGTGGACCTATGAGAAGAACCCTCCTGATAAAGACAGCGATGCCATTCTTCCAGAGCCAGCTCTTAGGTCCACCTTCGACCTATCGGGTGGAAAGCCCTGAGTCAAAGGGTGAGGGTTGGGTGCAATCCTCTATCGCTGGGTGAGGCAGCCAACTGTCAACTGACAGATGCCTGCCATCCAGAACGACAAACTCGGCTTGCAGCAGCCTACAAGCAGAACCACATCAGACCCCCCAAAGGCAGGGCTACGACTGTGATTTCTGATCAAGGTGAAAACTGCTGAGTGCATCTCAAAGCGCAGCTGCAGGAAGGGCTGCCCCGCTAGCAGAGAGAGAGAGAGAGAGGGAGCAGTTGAGCAGCCAGCGGCAGCTGGACTGTAGCAGAGTTGAGGGAGACCCCTGCGTGGGGGCTGGTCTGGTGTCCTTCCGAGCGTCATTATTTCCTCGTGAACACACCTAGAACTTATCCTCAGGAGCCAGAGACCAACTTTCTGCACCGAAGGGGGAGCGTGAAGCAAAGAGCAAATGAGAGGGCGGGAGAATGGGGGCTTCGACTGGGTGCCCCACGAGGTTGAGAAGCCGAAGCCCTGGGAAATAGGAAGGGGCTGTGCCAAGCCACCCACCAGCCTATCGGACACACAGCCTGGGCCACCCTCTGGGTCCTATCGCCCCACCTTCACCTCGGGGCTGGGGTGGCTAGGTGGGGAAGGCACCACACGGCAGGTAGTAGCAGAGTTGCGGGACCAGGTGGCCCGGCCCTACCTGCAGCTCCTGAAATTCTCCTTCCAGCTCAAGCCACTCACGCTCACACCGCTCCAGCTGCCCGGACATGGTGCAATGATGCAAGGCGGCGGTGGCTCCCGCAGCGTGGCCCGGCCGGGCACCAGCACCCCACGCCCGCCCTCTCACTCGCCGCCTCCCGAGGCACCAGCTGTTCCTGCGCAGCCGGAGCCACGCGCGCATCTGATGTCACGAGCCCCGCCCCGGCGCCAGCTCCACCCCTCGATCGAGGGTGGGGTCCGCGCGTGCGCACACGCTTCCCTGCTTCCGCCGCGTGGACGGCTCAACTTTACGTTCTTGATTAGATCTGTCTCCTCTCCCGCTCCTGTGTAGTACGTTTCTCCTCAGAGTGGGTGGAGGGCTTATCTGTAAGCTGCATTTGTGGCTTATGTTACTTAGATTGTGTTTGTGGGGAGAGTGGGGTGGAAAAAGATTTGGGGGAGGTAAAAGAAAAGTCATGTACCCCTTAACATTGCCTGACCCAGGAGGCCAAACCAGTGTCTTGGAATGCCAGAATCGACAGTGACCGTGTAATAAGGTCAAGGGCAGGGTGGGAAAATGCAGACTTGGCTCTGACAGCTCACATTGGCATTGGTATTTATTGCAACCAATACTGCCTAGATTCCTGTCCTCTATGACACTAGGTGACTGCTGACCGCTGCTGCTGTCATTCAGAAGACACAACCGCCTCCAAGTTTATCGAACGCAGTTACTTCCCTTTCCCTGCGAAGTCCCACAGGAGCTGCACCAGCCTGCCTTTCCAGCCACACCTCTTATCTTAACTGCCCTGGTTCCAGCTCTCCAGACAAATCTCATCCCAACTTGGCATCTTCCCTCTGAGTCTTCATGTAGTGGCTTCTAGCCCATTCCTGGAGCCTCATTCACAGGTACCTGCAGCCAGGTGTGGTACTGCACACCAGCCTTGACAGCATAGCAAGATTGTCTCAAAAAAAAATTAAACAAAATAAAGCGAAATATCAAACCATGCCTGTGGGGGCTGGAGAGGTGGTTCAATGGTTAAAAGTCCATTCTGCAGACCAAGCTTGGGTGGCTTGCACACCTTTAATCATGGCACTTGGGAGGCAGAGGCAGGCAGATCTCAGTGAGTTTGAGACCAGCCTGGTCTACATAGTGAGTTCCGGGCTCACTGGGACTACACACTAAGATCCTGTTAACGTGATTAATTACTTAAGAGGCACCCCCTTAACATTAGTTTCATAGGGCTGCAGTCACTACAAGTGGGTGGCCTAAACCCTAGAATGTACTTCTCTCACAGTTAAGAGGCTACAAACCTGAAACAGAAGTGCTAGGAACGCCTTGCCCCACCTGAGAGCCTGGGTAGAGAGGCTTTCCTTGCTGCCTAGCGGCTCATGGCAGGGGCTGTCCCTCCTAGCTGTGCCTTAGCTTTCAGCTGCATTGCTCCACTCTCTGACCTGCGGCCGAGGGGCCTCTCTGTGTGCCCTCTCTTGTGAATGAGAGCTCCAGAAAGAAGCTGCACCTTCTCCTGAACCCTCTGCAAAGCTGGGTAACTGATTAGAACTTCAGTGATTGTGGAGAGGCCAGGATATTGCAGGTCCGGAGACTAATTACGGTTTATCATGGGCTTTCATTTAGGGGGCTAAACAGCCATGGCTTGCCCACTTCTGCATCAGACCTAACATATAAAACTTTCTGAGGCCGGGCAGTGGTGGCGCATGCCTTTAATCCCAGCACTCGGGAGGCAGAGGCAGGCGGATCTCTGTGAGTTCGAGGCCAGCCTGGTCTACAAGAGCTAGTTCCAGGACAGGAACCAAAGAGCTACGGAGAAACCCTGTCTCAAAAAATCCAAAAAAAAAAAAAAAACTTTCTGAAACC